GTGTGTGTGTGTGTGTGTGTGTGTGTGTGTGTGTGTGTGTGTGTGTGTGATTGACTGGTTGATTAGAACTGATCATCCTTCCGACTTTACCTTCACTCACATTCCACAACTCCTCCACTCAGCCATACACTCGAAAGCACTAGACTCCAGTTTCTCGCTCTTATTGAAACTCATCAGTAGTGCATATCCAACGTCCCTTCCGGGCTTTACACTCCGGATCCATTGCATGGAAGGCGTTTGTGTTACCATTGCGCCAACCAGCTCATGCCAAGGCTGAACCGAATTACCAATTCATGTTTGTTCAGGTGTTGTCTTCAGAGATAGTCAGTCAGTTTAATTTGGCTCGACAGTCACGATGGAATACACAGTTGACTATCTGTTAATTCCAATCGAAGGCCTTCCACCAATTCAGTCTACCACGCAGATTACGGGTTAACTGACCACAAACCTACCAGGTTGGGTTAATCGTTCGCATTTAATTTACAGTAACTTGTCATTAGTGTTGTGGAATAATTGATATTGATTGATTAGAACTGACCATCCATTATAAATATATGTATGGGTTTTATATGACGATCTTTTCTCCTGCTCCTATCCATTTAATTTTTAGACACTTCTTCTTTGGCAAAAACAGAGGGGTCCGTTCAAAAACAGGTTAAAGTATAGTCAATTAAGAAAGAGTCACATATAACTAGACCAGCTTCATACATTTATTTACTGGCCGATCACTGTATCGAAATGTGTATTTACATGGGTACCCTTTGTATCTATATAGTAATAATTACCTGAAACATGAGTTGAGAAGCCATTAGTAGCCGACCAGCACGTTTATACAATTCTACTGCTTGAATACGTCGTCCTTGTTTTATTAACTTCGAAGCGGACTGTTGAAGCATGCGATCCAGTTCTTGGTATTGTTGCCTTTGTAAATCTGCGCTCCGATTCGATGTGCTTGTTTGCTGATTGATTAGTTCCAAGGCCATATTCCAGTGATTCAATTCAACGCATATATTGACAGCTTCTCGAACTTGATTACACTATGGAGAAATGAAAATCAAATAGGATAGGACCAATTATTAGGTTTCAGGTTATTTGGGGCATTAGTTAAAGAATAGTTGATCCAAAACAAGCGATGGGGTTCAGATATGCGATTAAATTCAGGTTTCTAAGATCACGCATCGATCTGTCACGTTCAGTACGGCGATGATTCGCGTTTTATTGAATACACCGGTATACGATCCGTTTCCGCGCATTTCGGCGGACGTGGTAATGGCTTCCCGTGGAAATTATGTGCCTTTAACTGATTTCACGTGACCTGATAGAAATCCGGCAAGAACCAGAAGAACGGACGCTCATCCGAAATGATGAAGGCACTGAACGATGGACAAAATCGGCAAATGTTTACTGATTGAACGATCGATGGAATATCTACCATAAACTGATAACTATAGTTTTTGCAAGCCTGAAACAGATCAAGTTTACCAAAAGTTGTTCAGCCATATTTTCACACGAAAAACTGCTCAGTCCATGGTAAGAAAAGACAAAACTTGGCTTTGCCATGCAATCAGGAGACATACCACAGCTGATCGCTTTCAAACCTGCTCAAAAATGCGAAACCTCGTATCCGAATTTCCACAGTTCCACTAACTGTATCAATTACCATCCGCAAAAAGTGATGACCGTCAGCCGTGTAGTTCAGGGTTTACGCGTTTGAAAACTCACTGGACTCAATATAATCCACATACAAACAATAGAACCAAAATTAGCTCAGATTCTAATAAGAATAAAAACCTGTACAATTGTGTAGGTATTTAAATGAGCAGCCAACTGCTCATTTAAGGAAAACCTATTACAATCTCTATTCACTCACTGTAAAATGACTCATTACACTATTTACTCGTGTTTCAACCTAAAATCATTTGAAGATACCAAGAATGGGCGCTGTAAGATATTTTATTGACCTCACATTTGCCATCTTTTATTCGCAATGTGTAAGAGCGATCTACTTGACCAAAAGCACATCGGGACCGATACGAGAGTTGTTACATTCATTCTTAGGTGTCTGAGTAAGACTCGGATGAGTTATGTCAACAATCGCAAATTCTAAGTTTTTTCCTCTTGAAACCCAACTCACAAACGGTGGATGCAATAGATCACGTTTTACGTATCATGTGTTTGTATTTACTCCTCCATTGAAAAGCTCCTTATGATTTATGATTTCGAAGCCAAACACATTCCGTGCGTGCCTTTTCCCATACAGTAGCAATCTCTGTGTCGCTTTAAAGCCTGCCTCAAAGGTTATTTGCAGTACTATGCGTTCTAATTATCGATTCGGGGAATCCATAACCGCAGGTTACCCTGTCTGGAGTACAAAAAATTTAAGAAATTGGTAATATGCTTAAGAATCACACGGAAATAAGTCTTTGAATCATCATAGTTGACACACTCGGGCGGTATTTTAAAATAGCTCTCTTTGCACTGATTGTTTCAGTTCTATGGAACTTGATCAATATTACTCTCGATGCGATCACCAAACTGCGGTTAATATAAATTATATTTTCCATTTCAGTATTACTCAAAGAAGAAAACCTAAAAATACATAAACACATCTAGTTAGGCAATTTCATAAGAAATTCTGAGTTCACAAACTGAACTATTTTTCAACAATGCATGCTTCTGAGTATGGACTCTGAATTTGACAATATTTATCGTTGAAATCATATAGTCCTAATTAAATACCTCCATTACACAAAGTCAACTGGATGAATTAAAGCTTCGGGAACTACCATAAATTCCTGTGGTATATTTTCACAGCTTTCGTNGTTACGTTAGTTCAATTTCAGCTGGTTTAGTCGAGATATCTCATTTCGTTCCTGATAAACCGCCAAAAATAGTTAATTTCGTTATTCAGCAATGGAACACTCTTCTGTGATAATGTCATAGAGATGGAATATAATCTGGAAAAGTCGAACGAACTGGATGTGAATCTGGTCCCTAATGATGTGTATATCGATCGAGCATGATCGGTTGATGATATTCCAGGACAACCGCTTGAGTTGTATTCTACACATTCCATCCTATCGCAACAACATGCGACGGACGTAAGCGATGACTCAAGTGTTGGTCGCGCATGTTGCGTTAGCATCAGCGTGGTACGGCCTGATATGACTTTTCAACGAGGAGGTGGACGAACACACACACACACACAGAGACGTATGCGTACGCGTAGTACAGTAAACCACTGTAGTATATATCACATGAATTGGGGCGTGTGTGACCGAGGCACGTCTCACAATGGTCCCGCCTCCACCCGCGCTTCAATAGGGAGGTAGAGAAATCTGTGTTGCACGGTGGTCCTCCGGACATCGCTGGTATGCTTGCGCAGTACAAAGGCGTGGTAGCACCGATGAGACCACTGATAAAGATTGAAATGATGCTGAGATAGATTGAATTCATACCCGGACAACTTGAAATGATATTCGGACAACTTGAACTGTGAAAGGTATGGATAAATGATTCTCATTGGCACAACGTATTAGCAACGAATCTAATTTGTAAAATCAAAATTTGGACACCTTGAGTGTTGACTGACACTTTGGTGTAATACCATCTGGTTTCACACCGTGATGAAATTATTTAGAGCACATGTTTATGTATAACTTACATTTAATCTCACCAGAGCATCAGTTTCAAATTAAGAATCATTTCAAACAAAAACCGCACTTCTACAAACTATTTAGAGGCAAATAATTCCAACAAAAAAAGATTATCGAGGCTGAAACATAATGAGCTCACCAAGCACTTATGAATGGTCGGTCAAATGGGATCTATCACTCAACGCGCTGAAGTGCCACCATATACTTTCAGATGTCGTTGATTCATCAATCTTCGTCACAAACCCTCTTCGGATTCCGGAATCCCTTCCGTCGAAAAACAGTACAACAGACCTAGGGGTTAAAGGTATATGCAAGTTAACCCCATCTACATCAGGCGACGCAGCAGCCGCAAAAGCCCGCAAAGTATTATTCCGTCTCAAAACAGCCATAACGAATAGAAGCGCCGAGGTTTTCATCCTGATATATGAAGCTTTCATTCGCCCACACCTCGAATACTGTGTTCAAGCGTGGAGTCCATCCCTACACAAAGATACCCAAATACCGGAGAAAGTCCAAAAACTCGCTACCAGAATAGTCTGGGGAATGGAGCAGCAGAGTTTCAGGGATAGGCTCTTGGTACTAAACCTTTTATCCCTGGAAGAAAGCATGACTACGACGAGACCTGATAGAGAAATTCAAAATATCTAAGAACCTCGTCAGTTCTCCCATAGTTTGCATGTTCCTTTCAACGGAACATAGAGGTCTCCGTGGGCACCGTATACTCTGGAGCGGACAAGAAGCCGACTGCAAATCAGGTATCACTTCTTTTCAAATAGAGTCGTCCCGGCCTGGAATCGGCAACAGTAGTGTCATGCCAATCGGTCCAGACTTTTAAGCGCAAGCTAGACCTAGCGTGGAGCTCCCTTTTCCAGACATATGTTAATGATAACTCACTCTGACCCCCAAGAAACAGGCTGCTCCACCTCTTTTTCCTCTCTCTCTAATTCCAGATACTTCCGGAAAGAATTAACCGGTTACAATACAAACCAGGACAGTACACGCCGTCATCGGGACACCTCACAGACGAAGGTGTCCTCACGTCCTGAAATTTGAAATTGAATTAGACAATCACTATGCCAGTGTGCAATGGATAGAGTGGCGGAAAGTGACTTTTGCCTTCCCTGGTATGAAATCACTTCTGTCTATTCGAAATCGATGGAACCGAAATAGCGGAAGCTTCAGTACCGACTCTAGCAGTATATACAAGTGTAATAAATTTGAACCAAACTACCTTGATTAGGGCATACACTGCCTGTTGCGTTAAGCCTATACTGGCAAAACGTGAAGCCAGTTCTGGGAGTAGGGCGTGACCTTCGGGTAATTCCTCGATTAGTCGCTCCAATCCGCTGTAATCTTCCAACTGATAGAGACACTCGGAAAATTTGACCAGATCTCCGCCTTGACGATAATAGCCAGCAGCTTTATCCCTGCAAATATTACACAACAAAACGCCGCATGAGCATTTAAATATTCAGATAATTCCATGAGCATAAATCAGGCGCATTTTTGCTGCATAGACTAAGTTTGTTCGCAAAAAATCAATACAGCAAACTCCCAAGTTCGATATGAGTTCGTCTACTGACTTGGCAAAATAGAGTAACCTTTCCGATCAACTGCTATACCAATAGGCCGTGTTGAACAAAATGACAGTGTGAAAGATTGCAGACTTGCTTGAAGAATTGCTTTCTTGGCTACACACAAGTTATTACAATACAATACACTCATATTGCTTAGTGATTTGATTTATTAGGGAAAACTAGATAAAATGTTTGGGGCGTAAATAGTGACCATTATACCTCAAAGGTTCCCATACGTTCATATTATATACTTGTTTTATTCATGTATGCGACTGAATTTTTACCAACAACACGTTATCGTCAATAGGTCAGCGCACATACGGTCAATCTCCTGCTAAGTCACACTCCCGAGAAGTTGCATTTTCCAATATCTTCCCACTTTTTGAAAAACCTAAACCAACTGTACAAGTAATGACGTAGTTTTTGACCATGCAATGTAGCCTTCTCAATATGTCACAGTTCCTGATATCGGTTAACTTGAACGTTGACCGACTTTTGGGACGGCCATTGATCAACCAACCTTTATTGTCAGCCTCAGCTAATGGCGTTTCACCTAGTGTGACGCGAGCATGACACTGTTTACTGATTGAATAATCTTTGCGTGGAAGACATGCCGATGCCAACAATCGAAGACAGTGTCACTAGATTTCAAAATGCGCCAGCGCCTATGGATCAGAATGGGTTGAAAATGCTGAATCGGACAAGTACAACTCACAGCTCTGTAGCCGTGTCCCTTAGAATTTAAAGAAAAACTGTTTACAGTGTTGTTTCCTATCGAACCGCTATGGAATAATGTGGGAACGCTGGAGCATCTCAGGAAAGATATCACCTGAAAACCATCGAAAAGTTCAAGGCAGTGAATGAGGAGACCTTGGCTTGGTTTGCTGCCATGCGGGAGGGCAATTCAGTTATCAAAAAAATGCATCATCGTGACATCAAGGCTTCCGAATCGGTCGGAGCACACACTGGTGATAACAAAAGTGAACGAACGAGTAGATGTCTACGGAGCTAACGCTACACATTTTACGCCAGAAAATCATGGATAGATTGCACAGCGAACAATCAGTTTGGAAAATGAGATAGAACTTAATGTACTGTGTTTAACCTGTAACATATTTCCCTTATTTCAGATGATGCGATTTTCTTTCGAATGTGAATGAATACCGGATGTAATGTGCTAGTATTAACCTGAGGGCATCGTAAGAGATTTCAAGGTCTTCGATACCCAAAAGGTACAAAGGACGGTACATCTAAATTCCGTTATAGATAAACAGTACATAATTTTAAACATTGGGAACAAGTAACGGAAGTAATGTACTTTTCATCGATCTGGTTTATTTTATCACAAAACTCCCAAACGACCTTTCATAGCACTTGATAGCATCTACCACTGAATACCACGCTACGTCGCAGATCCTCGAATTTACCCATTTATTCGAATTCCCGACTGGTAGGACATAGCAGGAGATTGATGGTATTTGCATATACAACAAGTAGATCGATCGATGAGAAGAAAAAACAAAGCATTCTGTTTGTTGTCTATTCAAATTTGACCGATCTCAAATCCCTTAAATGACACGTAAAATACAATGCAGATACACATACAACACGTAAACAATCATTCACGTATGTGTGTGTGTGTGCGTGAAGGTATTC